ACCCCACAGATAGCAGCAAAAAAAAAAAAAAAAGATAATTTTTGAGAGTCTCACTCAGCTGCTGCTTGGCAAAAATGTTTTCATCTACATATGCAGTCGCCCATAACACAACCATTAATTTACACGGATCTCTCATCCCACCTCGGCCTTCAAAGAAGCCAGGAGGTTTAGGTGGGGAATTTAGCAGAGTATACCAATCCCCTTAGAGTGGGCATGAGACTCTGAAGTGGGAAAGAGACAGACAGAAAGAAAGGAATGGGAGAAAACAGCTAGAGGGGCAGGGAGCTTCATATTTCAGTTACCCTGTAGTCAAGAGTCCAATATGAAAGATGGAATCATCTTTCTAGAAAACCCAGAATCCTCCTTCCCAACAGTGAAGAACAGCAAAGTGGCTAGACTTTTCACTGGGGACCACCCCTGAACACGGAGGGTGCAGTCCCACCACCTTCTGCTTTCATCCCGACTTTAGGCTTACTGGATTAATTCTGTGGTTAGACAGCAGCTGATATTTGACAACCACTTTTAAGGTGGGGGAGGGAGGGGAACCATTAGGATTAATTATGAATGGCTTTACTTTTATCTCACACCCACAGCTATTTAAAAATATTTGTTGTAGTTGCTTTAAAGTGAAACCCTTTTGTGGAAATACAGTACTGAAAATGCTGAGTTTACCAAAGGGAGACTAGGCTGGGTACTGATGAGGCATTCCAGTCTCAGGGTAAACAGTTTGGTTGGTATAAGCAGGCACTTCAGTATAACAAGGCATATTACTTACCCTAGGAAATCCTTCTGTACTTGTGGCACACATTACTCATTCCTTTAGTTGTTAAACTCTGTTGCCAGAGCCCTGTATGCATTTCACTCGCAGTACTATTGGAAGTGCATATAAACCTCTCCAGATTATAACTCTTCCAGAGAGTCAACAGATTATCACATGCACTTCATACAAAACAAAACCTATGAAACAATGTTACAGGTTTTGAGAAATAATGTGCAGGATGACAACACCATCCAACTATCCTCCTGGCATTTTTATTTGTTAAGACTAGCCAGAAGTTATATAGCTCATTCCATGTTAATCTGTGAATAATGTTAGCACAGAACTGCAGTCTGAAAAAATGGTAAGTTTTTATAACTACAGGCCACCAAAAGTCTTCCAGATGCAAAATGATACATTCTCCGATTGATAGATTTCAGAGGCTTAAAGGGACCATCACGTCTGACCCACAGAACATGGAAGCTACAGTCCAACAAACCAACTCAAACCATCACCATCCAGTACTTTCACATCCACTTCCAGTACTTCTGCCTAGTCCTGGCCATCTCTCCACCACAGAACCAGCACTAGATTCAAACAGACTTCAGCACACCACATGCTTCCAGGATCTGGATCTGAATTAGAATGGTCAAACTGCAAAGTCCTGAATTTGAGGAGTAAGATTTATAAAGGCTTTTTATGCTGACTTATAAAACATTCTGCACTTTTGTGCAAGAAAATATATGAATGCCATGGATCTCTATTCCTTACCGCAAGAAAGTTACCTACAAGATGCTCCCTGCTGCAATAGGGATTAGTGATACTGGCATTTCAAGATTGCTGAAGTATTATGCAGACTCACAGATTTCAGCACAGACTTCAGCAGGTAAACAGTGACTCTTCAGCACTTACCATCTAGCTTTGTGTCATGCTGTACACAATCAACATTCCCAAGTTTGAAAAACTACCTTTTTTCCTCTCATACCTCCCTGTTAAAGTTGGTTGCTTATGCAAAATATTGGTAGCACATCAGTGGAGAAATCAGGACATTTTTAAAGGCAGAAAATAATTTGAAAGAGCTTTTACAAGAAACAAGATCAGAAAATCAGGGACTAACCACACTGAGAGAACTTTGTATTAGAAGTTTTAGCAGTTAATCTAGCGACAAACTCATTTAAAAAAAAAAAAGAAAGAATGATTTGTCAAGTGAACTTAAAGCAGGAGAAAGAAAAGTTTCATAGGATTCTTGCTATAATCTCCAGTTCAGTTACGAGTCCCTAGCATCCCAGAGATGGCTCTTCCTATTAGAAGCAACTGCAGTATTACATGCATAGCTTACATCTTTGCATCTGCTTGCTGTACTCAGACATATTATCTGGGCGTATAGATCTCAGAAATTTAATGTAGTCATCACTATGGTACTTGGTCATTTCTTCTGCATTCGCTTTGTGGGGACGCTGTAACAGACAAGACAGCAACATTTATTTGTAATTCAGTCTTTCTTCCTTTCCCATTCCCACAACCAATCCTAAATTTAAGCTCAAGATTACCTAAACCAGGACCCAAACCAGCAAAGCAACCCAAAGGAAATATAATCCTATTTCCCAAGGGGAATTAAGAGGCACTAAGAAGGACTGAAATTTATCACATGCATGGAGAGAAGAATATCCCAAACAAACTACAGAAGCTGTAAGTGAAAATGCCCTTCTCTGAATGATCTTCACACTGCACTCAATCCTCACCATTTTCTTTCTTTAACTGTGTTCTTCTCTCCAAGAAGTGTGTAAGAGTCTGCACAGAGACCCTTTACTTCTGCATTAAAAATGATAGCTTGGCAGACTAAGTAAACCTCCCATCCACCTCACATGCATTGTTTTTCTCATTTAGTGGCCAGATGTATACTTACATAGATCTCCATTTTTCTGTAAAGGCCATAGTTCAGCAGGAGGTTATGGGTCATTCGGATCCTGTGGGGCTTCATTGGATGGCCCTGGCCATAATAGTAGTTTCCAACATCCCCTGAAAACAAGAAGTATTTGGTTACAGTGGAAAGAAAGTCCTTCAAGCAGTATCACTGCAGAGAAAAGTGACAGAAACCACCTGCTGTTTAGTTGCAGCTGACCTATATTTCCTGTCATTTTCTAGTTCCACAATTTGACTGTCTGTAAGGGCTCCCCCTCCCTATCTAATGCACATACATCCTTCTCTAGATTCACAGCAACTTTGGTTATCACAGTCAGGTTAACTGAGGCCTTGGACAATCTAAGAATTTACACTGATAATAAAGAACACGACCCTCCAGCAGATCACAGATGTTTGATTAACTGAGCCGGTATCTTGCAAGGAAAGATCCCATCACATTACATGCAGTATGCCCCTGAATGATATCCTCCTCAAAATTACAAAACTTCTAGAATCATTTCCAGAAGGTGAGCATCAATTTTAACTATCCCACATATGAAGAGGATCCCATTTTCACTGGGAAACTTTACCATCTATTTTTCTGAGCAGCACTAGCAGCTCAGCACTCTGAACTTCCAATTTCAGCTAAGACAATGACTCACTCAGCGTATCACAAAGCCTTTTTGTACCAAGTTTCCTAATCTATAAAATGGTGATATTTCCCTAATTCACCATTAGGAAATACCTAATGGAAAAATCAGATATTCATTATTACCCTGGTGAACAATAAGAGAGGGCAATAAGATACTTAGTCTGCTATGCACTCTGAAGATGAAAAAAGTCCTAATTTTTATAGTCTCAATTATTTTTGTCCTTTATTATTGCTTGAAATACACAAAGGCCCATCAGCATCACATCCCTTATTGGGCTGATGCACCTAATGCTGTGTGTACGTGTACGCGTGTGTGTACCGCTAACGAAGTTCAACTAGTTTCACAACTCAAAACCATGGTAGAAGCAATCTAGCCTGCGATGACTCAGTTGGGAGTATCTAATATTTCATCACATATCCCAGCATTCAGGAGGAACTTCTCTGCTGGCTGTCAGGGCAATAGAATGAAGCTTTTCCTGTGCTGGGATTTAACTCCACTTTCTGCCATCAGTGTACTTGAAGCAATACAAGTCTCTGGATAGACAAAGAATGACACAATCTCCACTGGAGATTAACATTATTTGGAGTGAAACTGCAGTTTTCCTCGCTTAAAACAGAATCTTGTATGGAGGCAACAGCACCCATGTTGAAAGTAGGGTTAATTTTAAATATAAAAAAGGCTTAAAGGTAACCAGAGAAAAAAGCTAAAGAGTCTCCCTAGGGAATATTTGTGAAGCCCCTATCTAACTACTAAATGAACAGCAGCCCAAGAGAAAACAGCCACTTGTTACAGTTATGCCCTGGGCTCTCAATTAAATACAGAAGACTGATTGTAAATGCTTTGAATTGAGGATGGTATCTTGAGGTTTTTACTCTGCTAAACAAAATTAAGTTACCAGATTTCCCTTTTACAGCAGTGGATATATCTGCCATTTCAAGGATTTGTTTAAAGAGGACCCAAACATAGAAAAGTCTAGGGTGTGAATTTAAAGCACAGTAGCTATTCCTCACTATCAGCCTTAAATAAGAGGCCTAGTTTAGATTACAAAGTTCTGCAAGCAAAAATTTAAGCACTTTCACACCAAGTCTCCCTTGTGATGGCACAACTCTCCCTTTTGCTTGCATTTACTCCACCTCTGCCAAGGAATAAGACTTCTGCTTCCACCTGGCAGCAAGCTGAAGGCCTATATAGACAACCCAGCACCTTCTGCCAGCTGCATCGTTTTTGCCTTGCCAGGGTGTGCTTGCATTCTGGTGGCAGGGCTGCGGAGAGGAGCTGTGAAGAGCCGCAGAAGCACATCTGTGCGCACAGGCTTGCAAGGCCAGAGGATGCACACAGTAAGTAAAGTAAAAAAAAAAAAAAAAAAAAAAAAAAAAAAAAAAAA